AACAAACACTAAACTATTGAAATCTAATGTTAATCAACAAGCAATTAAAGATGATATTGTTTATTACGATATGAAATGTGGAACAACTATACATGAAATAATTAAGGTTTTAAAAAAAGATGATAGAGCTTTACCTAATTTGGGTGGTTATGATGGTAATAATTTATTCCTGAATGATGTTTTTTTTCTTTAAAAACAAATTTTATCATTATAATAATAACATTCAATCAATTTTATAGGCCAAACTATTGTTGGGTAAAATAAATATAAATAGTTATAATTAAGCAATGTATTTTCTTATAAATCATTAATTTGCATTTTACAAATAATTATTTAAAGTCTTAATGCTACTTCAACTCATGGAAGTGGGATCCAAATTCCACCACTGGCAACTTCAATAAAGACGGTTGATTTAATTGTACCTGGTAAATACTAATTGATTCTATCCGGTTTTAATATTTAACATTATCTTATATTAATAAAAATAAATTATTATAATTGTTTTATTATATAGGAGGTCAATTATATCGTATTGAACCAGCGGATGGAATTACCGATCCTATCTCATTTAAAGCCAAATATCCATCTGTCACATTAATTCAGGATGATGATACTTTCAATTGCAGCGTTGTAAACTTGGGTGCATTTGGTGTAGTATTCTATGTCACTGTATCTACAGTAAAACTTTATAGTATTATTGACGAACGTGAAGAAACTACTTGGAATGAGGCAAAATCCATACTTAAACAACAACCTTATGAAACAAATCCATACCTAAAATACAGAAATTGTGAAGTATGGATTAGCCCATATACGCCATATACACTTATTGTCAAAAGAAATATTGCAACCGAAGAAGATAAACAAACCTATCCAAAGCCTGAAATAAAAAAATGGTTTCAAGAATTTATAGAATCACCTTTAATATCAAAAATTACCGGCAGAACTGCTAAATCAGCTGGTTCTATTTTATACTTCTTCCTATTAACCTTTCCAAGATTTGTACCATTTATTTCTGAAACTGCTCTGAAAACTCAATTTCATCCTGATCCTGTGGTCGATGAATATAATAATATTTATTTAGTTGGTGTGTTTACTATTTATTATTTATTATTTTTTTTAATTTTCTACTATAACCATTGTTGACATTATTATTATCTATCACTATTAGGTTTTATAAATGATTTTAAAGCAATCTCGATTGAATTGGCTTTTCCCATGAAAGATGATAACCATTTAAATGCCGTTGATGCACTTTTAGAAACATTAAAAGAAATGTATGATAAAGATCAATTATATATTAATGGACCTTTGTCACTTAGATTTTCTTCTTCTCTGCCACAATTTTTATCTATGGCAAATAATGACGAAGGAATTCCAACTTGTTATGTTGAAATGGCTATTTTATATTATGTAGGTTCATTAATCCATTCGTTGTTAATGTGTTTTTTTCTCTGACCAATAATTCACTTTAAATCTCAATATATGTTATATATCAATTATAGAGGCCTTCTCAATTTCATTCTCAAATTTTTGATTCATTAATGGCAACTGCATTAAAATTTAGCGGTAGATGTCACTGGGGCCAATATTTGCCACCAGATCTTGATTTAAATTATCTGGCAAGTTCATATAAAAAAGAAAATGTTGATAAATTCATTAAACAAATCGAAAGGTTTGATCCACAAGGATTAATGAGAAATGATTTATTACATCAACTTGGTTTGAAGTCCACAAAAGAAATTCCTATTCAAAATAAACCCGGTTTTTTTGATGATATTAAAAATTTTATTGTTGGTTTTAAGAAATAAAAACCCATTATTTATTTTTGTAATTTACATAATAAATTTATCAATTTATATTAAAAATTAAATTAATTCAAACCAAAAAGGGTTGGCTATTTTATTGTCACGCATAGAAACATGAAAAAAAACATAATAACTTGTAATGATTTATTTAAATATGAGGCAGGGGATATTCGTAAAGAGTCTAAAAACATGTAATTACTCCTCAAAGAAAGAAAAGTCGGAAGTTTAACAAAATAAAAATAAAAATAACTGACACACATATATAATTGAATTTAAAGACGCAACAGGTTAAGATCAATTTCAGAAGATTCAGAGTTCGTAGATGAAATTAGTGATTTGATACCTTATTTACCTGTTATAGGTTCGTATTCGATACAATTCACCGTCTAGCTTGTTAATAGTGTTATTAATTAGCAATTTAATTAATTGATTTGTACTTTTAATTTATTATTTAAAATACGTTAAAATAGCAAATGAAAGATGTGGTACTTGGTATGTTAATCCAAAACGCGTAAGTTAACATAATAAAAACATTAATTACAATAAACTTACAAAGATCAAAAGAAAACATCTGATTTATAAATTTTGTCTATGCCAGTTATTCCACCAATCAGTTTATTTTAAATCAACCGATGGTCATAATGGCAAATGGAATTTTAATTTACGTAGATTAAATGCTCATTTATTAGATGTAATTATAAATTATGGTGGGTAAGTCATTAGTTATTTTTTATTGTTAGAAAAAATATATAATCAATCATTCATATAAAAAATTGATTGCTTGCTATTAGATGTATAATAGTAGATTCTACACGTAATGGCAAAAGAATGCCTGATTCTTTATCAAAGACTATACCAATATGGTGCTCCACTATAAATTATTCCATAAACAAATTTCGTGAAAATTTATTATCATCAACAACAATCTCTTCAAATATTAATAAAGATAAGGACGTTGATAATTCTGTTGAATTTATTCAAAATCGCTTAAAATCTTTGAAATTGAAACAAAAATCTAACGATAATGATGTAATAAATGTGCATACGGAAATGGAAAGTATGGATTTAGATGACGACAACTATAATGACAGTTATGTCACTAATAATGATGATGATAATATAGAAATGGAAGGAATCATTAATAGAAATAACATTAATTATGATTTGATGATAAATATGAATGAATGGGATATGAATTTTCATTCTTTACCATCAATAATATCAAAATCAGAACATGATCAAATATCAAATATAATACCAAAATTTTCTCAAAATTTTCTAGTAAGTAACTAATTTTCCCTATCTAAATATATAAAAAAGTTTACTAATTATTCAATAGAATTCAGGTTATGATATTTCTTCGTTATCAGAATCTTTGAAAAAACCATTAAGACCGATCTGGTTTACACCTTCATCAAATCTCTACTTACACGAGTTGCCTGATTATCGTAACATGCCATTTTATCCTGTGATATGTTTAAGTGCATCGAAAATTGTTAATAATGGGTTGGATTTTAGAAGTAATGGTGACAGTGGCAATGATGGGTTTGCATACATTCAAGGCTCGGCCGATGATCATGAAATGTGGTCAATGGTAAATATACGATTAATATATTATCATTATAGATTATTACTTACTAACTTTAAAAATCGTATAAGTAGGGGTTAACACCATCTTTATTTTGGCAATATAAAACTGAAATATTGAATAAACAAAGTTCACAAGATTGTGAACTATTTATTAAGCAATTAGTTCATCAATCAAAAATTAATAAAAAATCACCATTATCGTCATCGCCATTATTATTGGCTGCTTCTTCATCTTCTTTATTAAGAAAGGATGAATTTAATTTCATTGGTAATACAAATATAGCTATTGGAAATCGTAAAAGTGGTAATTTATCATTACAACTATTTATAATATGATTATACATTATTAGAACTAAAATCATCTAAACACTTTTATTCCCTTATATTCTTATCAAAAAAGCCAATCAAGACACTTGTGGAAAAATTTTTCATTATATAATAAATTGTACTCCAGAACCAATTAATTTCAATTTTCACACTACATCATTCAATTATTTGCAATTATTTATACCAGAAGGTAAAAAAGGTCAACACCAACTATACCAACAAATACCTAATGCTCTCAAATTTCTTAAAGATCCAATTATAAAAAATAATAGTTTGGACAAAGAACATTCTAAAAAAATACTGATATACTGTGAACAAGGAATTGATAGAAGCGTTGGAATTTGTTTAAGTGTGTTGATCGAGTATTTTGATGATCAAGGTATAAATTATTATTAATAATAGAAAATTAATTGTTGAAAACAAAAAATTATTGAATAAAAATCTTAAATTTTTTTAGGAGATGTAATAATCAATGGAATTTATCATAAATGTATGTTAAAATTTATATTTTTATTCAGTAAAGTTTTTTTCTAAAATGATTAATATTTTATATATACTTATTGTTGAAGGTGTCACAAAGGAATTAATACAAAGAAAATTATTATACATTATGAAATATAGATTTCAGGTATATTAATTAATTTGCTATCCGGTCAACATATTTAATAAGTTAATTAATTGAATTTTATCAATTCAAATTAGGCAAATCCAACTAGATCAACTTTAAAAAAAATTAATCTATATTTTATTTCAAAAGAATAATTCATTTTTCAATTTCTATTTTATTGAAAAATAAATTAGTAGTGTAAATCTAATTTAAAGGATTGTTTCCTCAAAATAAAAATATTGCAAATAAAAACTATTATTAAGGAATCATGTTAATTTTATAGTGGAGATTTTATCTAGTGAAGATTGTATTTATTATATATGCAAGGATAGTAAATTTATTTCTAATAGTAATATTTAATATAAAAAAAAATATTAATTAATGTGTTTATTTTTGAATATTTACAAAAAAAATTAAAGACATATATATGTATGTATACTTGTCAAATCTATTCTACTACAATTATTATATCAAAGATTTTCATTATTAATTGGAGTTCTAAAAATAATTTTAAAAAGAGCGAGATAAAATTTATTCTTGGTTAGATTATTACAACATATAAAATGAAAAAATTTACTATGAACATAAATAGTGTAAACATATACCTTTCTTTTAAAAAGGGTATATAGAAAATAATAATAATAAGTTAAAATAGTGTAATTATCTATTCAATAATCAGAGTCAAGTGCCTCAAAATAATAGTCATCTTTATTCAAATTCCTATCTTTATTATTTTGAGATCTAAAGCTTCTGGCTGGTTTGTGTTTTCTCAATAAAGAATTGACTCTAATGTTACGATGATAATCTGACTCTTCAATTTCTCTGTCAAATTTTTTGGCTATAAATTCATAATCACAAGGTTTTAGTAGCGTTTCTAAATCACTGCTTGTTCCTTGCACCAATTTGCTCAACCCATTTTCATTATAATCTCGTAATAAATTTCTTCTTGACGATTGCATATTTTCAGGAACAAATAAAATGGATGAAAGAATTGACCTATTATGGAAACCTGTTGGATATTTTTCAAGCTGTCCAACTCTATTAACTAGTCGTAGGAATGCTTGTTTAAATGCTTTTTGAATCTCTACCATGTTTCTTGTTGCGCGTGCTATATCGTTATCTAAATTTATAATAAATGAATGCACATATAATGATATGGATTAGATGACTATAATTATATACATATTTTATAATTTTATTGGTATAAATAAATAAAATACCAGGATCCGATGGGTCTTGTATGCATAAATTTGTTGTTGGATATTTAACTGCCCAGTCTTGTTGGCACTATAATATACGTGTTATTAAATAAATTTTTAATCATATTTTAAATATAAATATATCTATGGTGCTATCTTTAATTTTTTTTTTTGTGTGTGTGTGTGTGTCAAATTATTAAATTAAATAAATACCTTTAAACGATAACTTCCACCATGTCTTACTGTAATTGCCAGATCTGTATAATTGAACTGAGTCCCATATAATTCAAAAAATTCTATCAGAAGAACACCAAGGTTATCATTGTCTAGCTGTAAAGTGCCATCAGTAATACGTGGGTGCAACTTGATATATTTTAAATATATAAATAAACAAATACTTGATTATATAATCACAAATCACAAGTATATATAATTTATACTAAAATTAATTATTACTATTATTATAAAAACTAATAGAATACCTGTAGGAAACTTAGTATCATGCAGAACAAAGTGTAGCCACCCATTCCGCCATTTGATGGGTCATCAAGATTGTGGTGTTTTAAAAAACATTTTAAAACTAATAACAATTTACCAAGAATAGGCCATTCATCAAGATATCTACTTATGGTACTAACAGATGTAAAAACAGTTTTCTGATTAAATGATATGTCAATGTTAATATTAGTGTATTTTTCTTTGAATTTGATAATAGGGACCTGATTATTATTTATAAATAACAAAAATCAGAAAATTAATAAATATTTATCAATTAATAAATAAATTTATAACGAATAACTGATTTCATCATTGGTATAGATAGACAAATACCACTGCTTTGTGTATTACTAAAGGTTTGCCATGAGAATATCTTTTGCTCATTAAATAGTCCGCCAGTTGATGAAGAGATGATACCATTTTTACATGGCCAAAAACAACAATATCAATATCACTATTAAAATTAATATATTATCGATTAGTTGTTTGTTTGTTTTCAACCATTACAGAATAAAAAGTAACCTTTATACCTTGTGGGAAGATAAATTCCAGAATTAAAGCTTCCAAATATGAACATTTCGGAACAAGGGATTTTAGTTTTGACCGCATCTTCAATCCTTTTAATAACAAATACTCTTAGTGATTTTTCAACATCAGTTGGAGAAAGGTAATCTATTAAATCGTTCAATTCAAAATGCATCCTAATAAAAAGATCATATATAATCAATTAGCTCAATTAAATATCTTTAATAAATCACGTATATAAATTACCTATGTACTACATTTCTATATTTCCTATCATCGTCACCTTTCATCCACGGAAGCTCATTTGGATTTGGTTCCCTCCAACCATCTGTTGCTTCAAAATTATTAAATCTCCTTTTCTTTCCGGAACTTATCATAGAATTGCATTTTTCTAATTCTTGTATTTCTTTTGGTGTTATTTCGTTAATAGGAATGAAATCCGAGTTAGGTATTCTATATAAAATTGAATAGTGATAAATAATTTAACAAATGAATAAAAAATAGGAAATTATCGATAACAATCAGAATGCATTTGAATGAATAAATAATTAAATACATACCGTGCACTTTGTGAGGATTTATGACTTGTAACAATTGGTTTTGGCGATTGTAAAGTGTTATCTCCACTGGGAGTGCATTGAGTTAGTTTTCCTGAATGTTGATTTGGTGAAGATACTTTCTTAATATTATCATTATAATGAGTATAGCTATTGTCATGATTATAACGATATCTATCGTTAATATTAATAGAATCTCTACCTCTATTATAATGTTTGCTAGAGCTCTTACTACTATTTTTATTATAAGTCTTCATATTGGAGGTTTTATTATTAATATTACTATTATTATTTTCTGTAGTATTACAAGTATTTTTTTTTTTGCTGATGTTTTTTGACTTTGTCTTGGTCATTTTATAAAAACTAATGTTTAAAAATTGTCAAATTTCTTTTGGTGATACAGAATATGACAGTAATAGATAGATTCAAGATCTCATAACAGAATTAGTCAACGAATTATTTCAAATCAAGCTTTCTGCCACAATTACAATGAATAATATAATAAATTAAAAATGAAGCTTTTAACAAGTGGAAAAACATATATAATGAAATATAATGACCAATTGGTTTGTTAAACCTATTAAATTTTGCAAACCTAGTCTGTTGGAGACACCATATACATTAGTTATTCCAATAGTGTAATATCTTCTACGCTACTCTCTCATTTTGACACTACATCTACAAGCATATCCTTTTATACGAGCATAATTAGCAGGATAAATGAATGTGATTTTGGGCGTTCGAGTGGATGAGAATATGAAGATTGGGAGAGAAAGAGATACGATGGTTATTACATGCAAAATTTATCAAGTTGTAAGATAGTTGATCATGATGATAGTAACTATGAAGAGGAAGATGATTAAGGTTGTGATGATGATTGACGATTAAGGTTGTGATAGCGACGTTGATGAGTGATGATGATGATGGTTTCTTTTTTTTTCTGGGATGCTCTTTCACATAACTCCTTTTGCAACACCAAGTTCTTTTTGTTGATTATGTCAATTAAAGCTCCGAACGAGCCAGCTCGAAATTTAATATAAAATCACGGTTGAATATTTATAGTAGTAAAACAATAATAAATTGTATAAAATACTTTAGACAGACTAAAAAATTACAATAACAGGTTCTGAATAACCTCATTTCAACGTATCTATCTATGGTTTAAAATTCGTTATGCCAAATTACTAATCACGTTTCAACGAATTTTACATATTCGTCAAAACGTCACAATGTTTGATCTTTGTGGAGAATTAAAAAATCTTTATTATTGTTGAGTTGAATTTCTATTCGTAATATGGTGCAGGACACCTAGTCCCTACAACTTTCTGCGCCACAGCGACAGATTTGGGAAAAAATTCCCAATCAAAAATGCAATAAAATTTTTACAGTCACGCGTTTTACAAATAGATTTGGCACTCTTTATTGGTATCACGTGATAAAAGATCTGCAATACAGATTTCAAAATTTTCAATTCTTCCAATTCGTTCATTTTTAATATAAAAAATTTGCG